ATCTAAAAAATTCGACTACCTCTATCGGTATGTGCCCTTTTGGGAATACAGAAAAAAATCGACCTGTGTAAGTATCTCGTATCGAGAATACCTAATCTGCTAGAAAAATGACAGGATGGATAATGAGAACCTTCAAAACTAGGGAGGCCAAGCCAATGATGACACTCTTCAGGTCACTTGTTCTATCTAGGCTGGAATATTGCTGCACTCTAACAGCACCTTTCAAGGCAGGTGAAATTGCTGACCTAGAAAATGTACAGAGAACCTTCACGGCGCGCATAACGGAGATAAAACACCTCAATTACTGGGAGCGCTTGAAGTTCCTGAACCTGTACTCCCTGGAACGCAGGCGGGAGAGATACATGATTATATATACCTGGAAAATCCTAGAGGGACTAGTACCGAACTTGCACACGAAAATCACTCACAACGAAAGCAAAAGACTCGGCAGACGATGCAACATCCCCCAATGAAAAGCAGGGGTGTCACTAGCACGTTAAGAGACAACACAATAAGTGTCAGGGACCCGAGACTGCCTCCCAGCATACATAAGGGGGATTACCAATAGACCGTCTGGCGCTCAGCAGACGGAGGATCAAACCTCCACGTCATGCGCTGAATGATCCCCATGGATTTAGCGCTTAACATAAATTATTATTATTACCTAAAGTCGGTACCTGACCAGCCGGGCTGTGGCCCGTACGTTGGATTGCGTGCAGCCAGCAGTAACAGCCTGGTTGATCACTCTCTGATCCACCAGGAGGCCTGGTCACAGACCGGACCGCGGGGGCGTTGACCCCCGGAACTCTCTCAAGGTAAACTCCAGGTAATTAATCTAATTCCGACGTTGATAACGATTACTCTTGTCAAATAATCTGATAATATATCTGTTGCAACAGATATATAAGCTACAAGTAATTTTATAGTGACTTATAAAATGATTATAATCATTACCATAATTTTTAAAGGGGTGGACTGGTAAGCCAACGGAAGGCCTCAGTCAGATGACCTAAAACTCTAGATGTGGGTCATCATGTGACTAAGACCCGCGTCAGGAAACACTTGTCCTGTTTACTGAAAAACCTTACCTGACCTACCAGTCATTTCATGAGGCACTAAGCTACCTACAGCTTATATTATTATTATAATCAAAGGGGAGCACTAAACCCGTAGGATTATGCAGCGCCTGTGGGGGGGGGGATGTGGAAGGTATTCAGACTTAATTCAGGGAACTGGAGCGCAGATCCAATTCCCTAGATCAAGAGCCCCTCACCAGCATCAAGGAACCTCCCTTGAGGGGCCTACAGCTTAGAACCTCATGATACATATTAATTTGCACTCCTCCCTCATACTTTACTCTCACTTAATTTCAATACCTCATAGAATTACCTCAATAACCATAACAAAGTTAGGGTCCCCAATTTTCGCGCTGGAGATTATATGAGGTTAAGGAATTACTGAGAAGTGTAGACTGTGGTAACCTGGTCAGGGACTGTCGTGAGGGAGACCAGATACAAGGTTGTGAGGGTTGCCAATATGGCATTGTACAAGCTGCATATATTCCTAAATGAGAATTTAAATCAAGCCTAAATGACCTTAAATGGGTAAGAAAGGGGCTCAAACCCCGCTTGGGTCAAGTAAGTGAAAAGAGAGGGCCCAGTCCCTGGACCCATTATGTACCTCTGTAATCCTTTGACTACCGCCCAAAGGATGGATATGAAATACATAATAAACATATTAAACTAAACTAACTTACAGGTGAATAAAAAAGAGATGAGGATCACCTTATTGAAGAACATGTTCAATTTAAGGAATAAATAAAAAAAAAGTGGGGGGGGGGGGGGGGAATAGGGAAAGCCAAATGAGAATATGAAATTAAGGTTTCGAGGGAATCAAAGACCAGTCCTAAGGGTTTCTTTCGAATTAAGGCAAACAGTGTTCTGACTGGTTAATGGTCTATGTTGGACCGAAACCTCGTCATTGGTTTCATTCTCTTATGTGCGGGTTATTTGTGTATCTAAGTTTTCTCGGGTATATAAGAATAAAGATTATGGAGAAGATAGCCTCGTCTCAGTGTAACTCAAGTCAGAAACGTGTGTCTCATTTGCAATACTTATTTTCTCTACACACAAATAACCCGCACATAAAAGAGAGAAGCTTACGACGACGTTTCGGTCCGACTTGGACCATTGACGTCGTCGTAAGCTTCTCTCTTTCATGTGCGGGTTATTTGTGTATCGTTCCAGTCACGGTATTGTGCCTTTTTGTTACTTATTTTCTCTGTTTTTCCACAAGAGGATGCAAACGAAAGCCCAGAAATTAATAATATACTGACCAGGACACGAATAAATTATACAGTATCAAAGTCACTAGTGACATGGTCCTCAAACAACTTGATAACTTGAAGCCAAACAAGTCACCGGAAATTAGCAAACTACAGGCTATAGTCTATTCAACATATTGCAAACAGGTATCGTACCATATAAATGGAAAATGACAGATGTGATACGCATTTACAAAGCAGGAAATAGGTCCATAGTTTGAAATTATAGACCAGTCAGCCTAACCTCACCTGTGGCTGATCAATAGGAAACAGAGTTTGCATTAATGGGGAGAAATCAGAATGAGGACCCAGACGTCTGTGTTAGGACCGTTGTTGTTCACAATCTACATAAACGACATTGATGAGGGAATAAATTGGGAAATAATTTTGCCAATGACACTAAAATAGGCCTTCAAATAATTTCTGGTAACACTAGAAGGCTACAGGATGACCTGGATAGGTTGGAATTGTGGTCGGGGAAATGACAGATGTAGTTCAATGCAGACAAGTGTAAGGTTCCAATTCTAGGGAAAAAAATAACTATGGTACTTATAATATCAGCTAAAGAATGTAGATCTTAGAGTGAATGCGGAAAAAATCTAGGAGTACTGGTTAACAGAAATTTAAAGCCACAGCAGCAATGCATAGATGTTTTCAATATAGTTCTTGGTTCCATAACAAGGACATATAAATAACAGAAGCCCTAAACTTATGCTTCAAATTTAGATTATACTGCTCAGTTCTGACCGACATATTACAGGACGGACTTAACAGAGGTCGAAAATATGCAGAAAGTTAGTTAGTTAGTTTAATATGTTTATTATGCACCCCATACCCATCCTGTGGGCGGTAGTCAAAAGATTACAGAGGTACATAATTGGTCCAAAGTTTTGATAGCTGAGCAAGTTACAGAAGTAATGAATTCACAATTTACAAAGGTAATGAACTCACAATTTACAAAGGTAATGAACTCACAATTTACAAAGGTAATGAACTCCAGGTAGGTCTGGTCACAATCATGTCAAGTTACAAAGGTATTTACAGATTACAGAGGTACGTAATGGGTCCAGGGACTGGGCCCCCAAAGTTTTGATAGCTGAACTAGGTACAAAGGTAATGAGCTCACAAGTTACAAAGGTAATGAATTCTGTAGAATGGTTACTTACGTTTATACATGGCTACAATCATGAACAAATTATAGTGTAATGAGCAATTCACACTTCCACACCCGGTCACAACTGTAGTGAGTTATTGGTGCAAATATTGATTGTTGAGTCACACACACACACACACACACACACACACACACACACACACACACACACACACACACACACACACACACACACACACACGAAAATATGCAGAAAAGGATGACGAAATTGATTCTGTGTATTAGAATTGGGAAGAATATGGTTGAAGTATTCACATAGAAAACAGAAATAAACAGAGGGGATATAAATAGCGCGTTGAAAATATCTAAACATGACAGGACTCCCAGCAATGAATTCAAGAAAAAACTTTAGATTTAGAAAGAGTATTGGAAAGTACTAGTTTGTCAAGAGATTTGTAGATGAGTAGAACAAACCCCCAGGTAGTGTAATTGAGGCAGGAACTTTGGGTAGCTTTAATAAGTTAGACGGGTACATGAGTAGGTGTGGGTGAGTGTGAGTTCGACAGGCCTAGCAAGGGCCAACAGTATTCCATCGTTCTTTTGGTCTTATGTCCTACTTTGTCCTCGGAATTTTGTGGACTTCTTAAACTTGACGTAGATTATGGCCTTGGTAGGTCAAAATCCTCAACTAGGAGTACATGTATAATTAAAGATGAAACCAATGAATATATTCTCTCAAGATGCTTCCATGTATGTGTATATCATAAATATTTAGTAGTGATAATCGTTATTTTTTCCAAAGATAACCATGGCAACTCAGACACTTTCTGCATGGCTAATAAAAACGTAGAGCTTTATTTCCATCACCTTCAATTGATTCTATACCGAGGGTCGTTAAAGTTCATCCCCCAGAAGCCCGTCAATACCAGAAAATTGCATTACCATTATTTCAATTATCTAAAACATACAACACTGAACATTCTGGAGCAGTCAGGACAAACTGGATCATCTCTCAGCTGTGACATTTTAACATAAAAGCTGTACCTTTTAATTTGCATCCAGGTTTAAGGACTTGATCAGGCTTAATTGAAACATGAATAATTTATTTCTCGTCTTCGCTTGAAGCATTTAACACAATCTGGAGGAGCAAAGCTAAGATAAGACTAATTCAGTTAGAGTTAAGGTTGCACCCACATTATCGTCTAGGCTGCGCCGGCTTCTAATTTCCGGGACACTCAGACGCGCAACGATCAAACAAAATATGTAAAAGGCATTATATATTCATATTACAATATAGTAACATTGCATAAGACCGGTAACTCGTGTAGGGAGATAAGGAGGTCGTATTCTCCTTATCGATTTGTTCCATTGATTGAATGAATGAACTACCGTAGGCAGTACATTTTTAAAGATTTTTATGGCTGTGTTGTTCGCCCATTGCCACAAAACTCAAGATGCGCGATAATTTTATAACCAAGCCTAATTTGGGATTGGTTTTGCAGCGCTAAATGTGAGCTCCCAAAGTAGAAAATAGAGTAATGTTGAAACTGTCTTTGTTTTGAAAGATGGTCTGGTGGGATTAACGAGTGTTATGGCAAGATGGCCTCCCTTCCATCTCCCACCCAGGTACTGATTTCCTACTGGAATTTCCACTTGCTGACTTTTCCAGGCTGTTTAGGAGGCATGGATTTAAAGTAGAGTGTTAGGTAGAGTGTGAGTGTGAGTATGACCTCAGGTTCGTGGTTAGGGAGACGAGATAAGCAAGTTAAAGACAGACCCGCCTCCCTGTTTGGGTCGATGGAGCTGAAGTGTCCAGTGAAATTTTCATGTTTTGGCTAATATATTTTATACTTGGCTGAATTACATGCTTCTGATGTAACAGATTCGTCTGTCTATTAGTATTTATCACATGAAATGTCAGTAATATATTGTCAGGGAATAGGTAAGCAGTGAGGTAGCCGTCAGTTCAAGCCTCCCAGGGTGACATAACAAGATGGGTTCAAAAGTCTCTTTTCTAACTATTACAACAAATTTGTAGGTTGTCCTGCTTTCTCTGCACTTTTTTTGATCTGTGCTCATGTTTTCTTCGATATTTTTTTCACTAAGTAGGCTGAATATCCCAACGTAGTTTGTGATGGCCCTACATAGAATCTCTTAACATTATCGTATGTTAAGTAAAAGGACACAAGTGCAGCTAATGTGACATTTATTGTGGCAACGTTTCGCTCTCCAGGAGCTTTATCAAGCCACAGGAGAGCGAAACGTTGCCACAATAAATGTCACATTAGTTGCACTTGTGTCCTTTTACTTTACATATTGTTGGTAATTCTACCAACTTTATTATTATCGTATGTTATCAAAGATGAGATTTTGGCTAGTTTATGCCATATTAGTTATTTGTCCAGTCTATCATCCTCTGAATGTGCTTTGATATATTTTTGAAATGTAAGAGCATGTGCCTCTTGGGAAAGTCTTTGTTCCCTTCTGTAGCAGTAAATTAGTGGTACAGACTGACTATTTTCACTTCTCAGGGTTTACTGGTATTTTCATCCACGAGTGTGTTCACATTATAAAATTGGTTTTATTACGGCTGAGAATTTGCAGGTTTCAGGCACAGTTGCCAACTTTCCAGATTGCTGACAGGTGGCAGGTTCATGAACTTTTTTTTAAATTACTAGTTATTCAACAACATGAAATAGGTTTAGGCTATGATATGTTAGGGTTGGACATTAATGTAATGGGGAGCAGTGGGCAGTGTGTTTTGCTTTTTATCTTCACAGCTTAAATAGGTCATGCAGGTCTTCAGGTATGGCCTAACAAGAATACTTAAAGAAACTGTAGCATCCTAATCCAACCTTACTTAAATGGTAATACAGGGCCATTGCTTCACCCAGCCACCCAGCATCTTAAACCTGCTACAAACTACTACAGCTTAAACAAACTTGCTGTATATTACACTGGCCTTGTAGCAACAATTGGCTGTCCTATAGACATGGAAGAACCAGCAACAAATATATGTGAGGAAGGCTTCTCTTTACCATATTTCCTATGGCTTTGAGCCTGGGGGCTGAGGTTTTGCTTACCACCCCTCCAAAGCAAAAAATTGTTGTCGATCTATCTTTTGGTCTTTTCGAGGATTTAGACAGAATTCTTTAGACAACCAAAACCGGGTAATTTCATCAGTAAACAAGCTACGGCAGTCTGTAATAAAAAATATGAAACCTTATAAGAAGCCTTTATTGTACTGAAGGCTAACCAGATTGATGAATTAATAATTAGTTATTTTTTTCAGTGACCAGGTTAACTGAACTAGAAGGAACTACTGTAATACCCAACTAGAAATGCAATCTACTATAAAAGCCAAGTTGCAGTTAATAACATGGAAAACCAAATTAACTCCTGCAATGAAAACATAACCCAGGCTGGAAAAATATTTATTGTTAACTGAGTTAATTAAGAAACAAGCAAATCAAATTGAGCAGCAGCAACAGCATAAAGTTGAGGCTGTTGTCATAAAGCCAGAGTTCCTAGTAACCATTACACATTAGTCCTGCCTTGAAACCACTCTTATAACGATTAAATATGAGCTGAATATAAACATGGGCCTAGTGTTATTAAAAATGAACTGTTCGGTGAAACAGGAGCTAAATATTTAATCTTGCTTAGATTTCGTAACTTCTTGATAAGACAAGACCTCATTCAACCTTTCGTAAATAAAAATTAAAATATCTTTGTAAACACATGATGGACAAATTTGTAATTCAGGTTAGGAAACGTCCATCTGAATAAGAGGAAATCCACTATTTTATACTATATACAAATTATGATATTAAAGTAGCCATGAGTAAAATATACAAAATATAAAGCGAACAGACCCTACACAAGTTCTACAATGATTCCAGCTTAAGTATGATAGAATAAATTGACAGTATAAACCTCTTAAGCTCCACATAAACTATAGCGATATGTACCTCCTTGCCAATGATGGATTATTTACCGCACTTAACTGATTTTCTTTCCTTAGTCACTAATGTTAACCTCTTGTTCTGTAATCATTGCTATTTCTGTTTTTTGTTTTTACTGTTAAATTTTATTCTAACACCATTGTTAAAATATATCACTGAAATTTCTTTTGTTTAGATTGTTTTTTTTTTTTTTACTTTTTTTTTGATAAGTCATCAATGCATCTCTGTTTCTCAAAAATTATAACTTATTCAGTGATTTCTTTCATTGTATACAGAACCACTATCATTACAACTACATACTGTATATACAGTATTATTTTACTTTTTTTCTGTACAGTATATTATATTTTTTGTCTCCATTTCATACATTAAGTGTATTAGGCTCCTTGCCAAGAAACCATCAGTGATTTGATGGTATTAGTCACTTGTCCAAAAATTTTCCCCTCACTGTATAACCTTCATATAAGATCAGTATTCATATTACTGTAATTTAATATTCTGTCAGAAGGGACCCCAGTGGAAATAAGATGGTACTTGATGACACACTGACTGCCTTGGGTTATCTTGGGTGGTAAACCCTCTGGGTTAAAAATCCAAACAAAGCTTATCTTTCTATTCAGTATTAATGCAATTTCACATTCTGGTAAGGAGAAAAAAAAGTTTCTAGAAACTTAACGAAAAATAAAATGTAGGTAGGTTTTTTAATTGTTCTGATAAAGCATGACATATACTATAGAACACTATTTTCATTCTAAACGTCAAATCTGCATCTACTTTCTTTACATGCTCCTGAAATTTTCTAAACAGTCTGAATGGTAGTACATGTACTTACTTCGTTGTCTCAAATAACTAAACATTTATGGTGATGAATTAAGAGTTTGAGATTAGCGATTGAGAGTTGCCATTTATATGCTTTTGGGAATCAGAAAGCTTATCAGATTCTTAAATTAATCCAAGTACCACTATTTTTGTTCATTGCAGGTGGCGGGAGACCAGGCAGGAGTTTATGAGGCCTTATATAAGAAGGTAGACCCTACTGGTTCAGGCATCATACAAGCTGGTCCCGCTGCAAATTTCCTCAAGAAATCTGGCTTAAATGATAACATTCTTAGTAGAGTGAGTTATACAGTATATCAGGTTTAATAATTGAAATTTTGTAAGTGATTATGTAATAAGATGTCAGTAACTGCCACCTGTCAGAACTTCTTATGCATTGAGTTAACATTAAAAATTCAAGCAGTGTCTGTTTTTTTTGCACTACTTTAGGTTGTAAATAATTTTATAAGCTTGTTAGCTGTATAAAATATAGTACTGTATTTAAGCTTCTGCTCATCATAAAACACTAAAAACTTTTCACTGATCACGTGTTTTTCTTTTTTTATGGGACTTGCAGGGTGCATTAATCTGATGTACAATTACTTAATTTCTTGTTATATATGCTATTACTAAACGCTAATACAAAGTGCGATTTATTAATCACCAAGATAAAATATTTGAATGAGAGTTGTGTTAAATACTGATGTACTCGAGCATACCATGTTGGTGTGTATAATTTGACCTCTTACTTTTTTTTCCCCAAAGAAAATCCTCATTTTTTCATCTTTTATACAAGGGTCTACTAGTTTTTGAGGGACTCCTAATTAACCCTTTGAGGGTCGACAGGCCCTCTCCGAGACTTGTTCTCAGGGTCAGCCAAATTTAAAAAAAAAAAATAATTTTATGAAAAGATAGAGAATCTTTTCCCGATCATAATGACACCAAAAATATGAAATTTGATGGAAAACTTACGGAATTATGCTCTCGTGAAGTTAGCGGTCTCGGCGATGTTTACGGATCGGCGATTTTGCCCACTTTGAGCCCCATTTTCGGCCAGTTCCACTGTACTAGTCGACAAAAAACATAAATATTTCGCTAGAACTCCATTTTTTCTATTGAGTGCAAGAAACCACCCATTTACCAATTTCAACTATCCAGTACAATGGTCAGAATTTAGCAATTTTGCCAATTTCACACAAATTTCAAAAGATGCCAATTTCCGAATAGGGTCCAGAACAAACAAGAAATACATTCCTGGCACTAAAATGACATTTCCTCTGTTCAGTAGTCATGTCTCAAGGCCCCTCTTACATTCTTTTGCTTTCCACTTTGAATTTTTATTCTCACAAAAAATAGAAGATTTACTGTTATGCAGACTACTGCATTAGTGTAAAAAATGGTATGAATCATATTGGCGCACTTGCAAAAGAATATTAGACTCACCATTTGACGTGTATTGAATGCTTGGCATGATTTGTTTACTTTTGAACTTTGGTAAAAATCGAACATTTCTGCTACTTTGAGCTCAATTTCAAGGTACTTTTCATTGTAAAACCAGTCAAAATCGTCTCAATTTCTATGATATGCCTTCCATTCTATAAAATGAGACCAAGAAAACTAGAATACAACAATAAATACCATACGAAAATACAGTGCAAAGTCGCTGTTTTATTCCAAAAAAACGGTCAGTTTTTTTTTCTCATTATGCACTGTGTGCTGCAGGATTTTTTTTATACTGTGCACACTGACCACATAGACCCATTCTTTCATGTGGAGGCCTACCAGCTTTCTCCCACTAGATTTGAGGGTGCTAGAATTTAGGCGTACTAGTACGTCAAAATCCCTGTACACTAGTACGTCCGAAACCCTCAAAGCGTTAAAGGTATTAAATGACTCTTATGTGCAATATATTCTAGCCAAAACGTGGAAAAATGTACTGAAAATTTAAAAAAAAAATACAAGTAATTGTGACAAAAACAGAGAAATTGTCTACCAGTACACTTGGTAAACATAAAGGAAAACTGCACTAGATTTCTTGCTCATGCTAAATAAATCATACTCAGCCAAACTTTTATATTGGAACAGATGAATGCTGTAGTAGGTGCCACTGACCCATGTTAAGTAGGTCCTACTTGCATTCAACATGTTTGCTCAAGATTGAAATGAACTAAGATATTCCTTATTTATGCTGTTTGTTGGTAATTATCCACTTCTAATTTAGGCTGTGACAGTGGCTAGTCAACTGGGAGATATACAGATGACGTGCTCCTTCTCTCCTAACCTGACTTGGCTTTCTCTGCTCTTTCTCATGTAGTTACCTTCAGTGCTCTTTCCCATTATAATAAAGGGGATACAGTCATACCCCGCCCTACATTAATTGGTTTCAAGAGCCGTGTTGTAACCCGGTTTTTGACGTAAACCACACATAATGCCTTAAAATGCCTTAAAATGAGGACGAACACTGTAAAACTAGCGTGAATAACTCTCAAAAGAATATACTTAACTATTGCTTAACCTTAAAGAACACTAAAAACAAGTTTTAGTCATATTTGACTTTTATTTTTTATTGTTAATTTGTTTTATTTGAAACATACTTTTAAGGAAAAATTTATTTCACTCCCTTTTATTATGACGTAGGTGACGTTGCTGAGTGACGTAAAGTCAGACATAATGATATTTGCTGAACTGAAATTTACTCTAGAAAAGAGGCGTAAAGGCATATTTGACGTAGGTTGAAATGATGTAAAATGGAGTATGATTGTAATTCGGTGTTGAATAACATGGTAGTTATCTGCCTGAAATTGGCATGGTACAGGAGATCACACTGTGTGGACTGAAGAACATATGGGACAATAAGGTTGTTTCAGACCTCAAAAAAAAAAAAAAATTTTTTTAGTATCGTAATTTTTCAGTAATAATAGTTTTTCATACCTTACATTGTAGTTGTTGCTTATTGGTCTGAAAGTGTGTGGAGAGGGTTAGTGTGGCCCTACTGGGCCTAGTTGGATAGTGAGTCTTGTACAGTACAATACATGTAGCAAAAAAAAAACTATGTAAATTAATTTTATCTTTATTGTACCTTAGATTCTTGTTGTTGATGCTTGTTGATTTTGAAATGTGAGGAGAGGGTTAATGTGGTCCCAGGCCTAGGTGGATATGGTACAGTTTCGTATAAAATACCTCTAGCTATAGTAGTAAAATAAATATGTTGCTTTATCTTAATTAAATTCTAAATATACTGGTGGTTTACATTGAAATGATGATGAACAGAAACGTAAATAAAAATAAAAGTTAGGTGTATCGTGAATGCATAATATATATGTAAATACTAGTCTATTTTATCATTTATTACCATAAAATATATACAGATCTATTATATAAAGCTAAAATTTATCAAAACTTGTGTACACAAGCACAGATCGTATATGGTGCCATTCACAGTCAAGATAATGTAAACAAACGTTTATCAGTGCATGAATCATCATATCTGTAAATATACATGAATTTCTTTTTCATGTTACCTTCTCATTTTTGATGTCTAGTGTTAGTAGTACGTATAACATTGTAGTGTTTTGTATCATATAAGACAATATTGATGTAGGTACTGACATAATTCATCTTGTAAACAGACGATGTAAACTTGTGGTATTGCTAAATACCATACAGTGTACTGTAAATGTGTATTCTCTTCTTTATGATTTTCTTAATCCTTTCAGGGTTGAAACCCCTGATCTCAAACTTGCTCTTAGGGTTGAAGAATATAAAAAAAAAAATTTGTCTTTTAATAATAATAATAGAGAATTTTTTTTCCAGAGGTAATGAAACAAAAAGTATGAAATTTGATAGAAAACTTGCAGAATTACTCTCACAAAGTTAGCAGTGTCGGCAGTATTTACACATTGGCAATTTCACCCACTTTGCGCCCTATTTTTGGCCAATTCCATTGTTTCAGTTGATCAAACTTGTAGTTATTTCTCTAATATTCCTTTTATTTTGGCGACTGAGTACAAGAAACCACCCATTTACCTATTTCAATTACCCAATAAAGTGATCAGAAATTGGAAATTTGGCCAGTTTAACACAAAAAATTGCCAATTTAAAAATGGGGTCCAAAACAGTGTAGACATTCCCGGTACTAAAAAACATTTCCTCTTTTCCTTAGTCACGTCTCCAGGCCCCTCTTATATTATGCTTGCTTTCCATTTTGAATTTTTGTTCACACAAAAGTAGAAGATTTATTGTCATGCAAACTACTGCAGTATTGTAATAATTTATAAACATTGTAAGTGCATTCATAAATGCATATTAGACTGGCCATTGGATGTATATCAGACAAGTGACATCATTTGTATATTCTGGAATATTGGCAAAAATTGAATATTTCTGCTGCTTTGAGCTCAATTTCAAGCTACTTTCAGTCTTGAAACCGATCAAGACCATCTCTATTTGTGTAGTATATCTTCAGTTCTATCAAATGAAACCAAGAAACAGAATACAAACATAAAAACCATACATAAATAAACCGCAAAGTTGCTGTTTTAAATCAAACATGGTCTTTTTATTATTATTATTATTATTATTATTATTATTATTCACTGAGTGCTGCAGGATTTTTTTTATATAGTGCCCACTTAGTATATAGACCCATTCTCTCATATCTAGGCCCAAATTTACCTCTCACAGCTTACCTGAATGAGCCAGGACTGACCCCAGCTTCAGAGCTGTAGTACAATGGAACTGACACCGAAAAGGTTACTAACATTTACTTTTCTCTAGCTTACTTTTAATGTAAGAATATAGTATACAGTAGACCATCGTTTAACATGGTAGTTATGTTCCTGAAAACAGTGTTAGTTAAAACCGTGTTAGGCAAACTGAAGAACTTGTGGGAAAATAGGTTTACATTCCTTGGAGCCCCCAAAAAACCAAAACTTTTTTTTTATACCAACAGATCTTACAAAAATAAAAGTGAATATGAAATTATAGTTCATTGTCGTGATGTATTATGTTGTTTTTACTGCTTAAGATTACAGAAGCAACAAAAATAATAGTATTTCTTACCTTAAATTGTGGGTGCTGGTGTTTGTGGATGATTGTGGAGAGTGGAGAGTTATGCTGTGGCTCTACTGGTCTGAGGTGGATGGTAGAGGTTCTGGTACTGAAGTCGATGGTTGTATTGGAGTGGGCATAAATTCTGTAATGAATTTCTGTTCTGTTTTACCCCACAGTACATTATACAACTGACGGTAAGGCATCAGCTGCTCTAGACACCATTTCAGGGTCCTCTTCAGTGAAAAGTC